CATCTATCCGAAATTTAGCAATGTCAGCAGTAGGTGTAAAGAGGAACTGCTCGATATGAATATCGAGCAGATCTCTTTACCCCTACTGCTGGCACTGCTCAATTTCGGTCCTTTTGAACCTAAACCTGGTTCGTTCTGTTGGCAGGCGTCTAAGATTGGCTGAACACTCTTGTGAAACATCAACTTAACAGCAAAGGAAGTCGGCGATGTGCGCGAAGCGAAGGCTGTGAAGTGAACTAATTTCCTAAGCATTTTTTTCCGTTTCGACTAATCAACTCATTTGTACGACCCTAATCCTGTAACCTACTGCTTTCAAAACAAATTTCGCTCCTACTGAAGGTTGATTTTAAGCGCCTCCTCATCAACTAAAAGCGTAGTTGTAACTGGGTTACGACATATTGCATTCAATATTTTAAGCTAGAAGATCCGGATTTTGAAATTGTGCTGAAGGATGTAGTAGAGCTGTGGAAGATAATAAAAATTTACAACAGATCAAGAACTTTTGGTTCTGCTTTTCGACATGATGTTTTCAAAAAACTTGCACTACTTTTGAGTTTATAATCAATAATGTTTATACAAAGCACAGAGTCTGTATTTGACACTAATTTCAACAGATCTGGACCATTTTGAGCACTTTTGGCAAGGTGCCAAGGTTGCCCGTCTTGGAGGGCGTGGCTTGGCAACATATCCGTTTGTAGCGTTCTTTGGCGTAAGCCAGGAATGATCCGCTATAGGGCGGAGTCAGTCGTAGCGAAGTATCCCTATCATCGCGAGATAATGAGCGCATTACAGTATGAATGTGCCTTGCAGGCACTGCGCCAGCTGCAGCGAATATCACGGGCACCTAAGTTTCTTTCCCCATGATAATAGAGAAATATAGGGGAAAACAAAGGAAGGTACATGCGTTTCTTTGGATATGAGGAATCTTTGAAAAAGTTCTTATCATGATATATGTGGTCACTGCGAAGGCATATGGTTTCAGAAGAACATGTGCAATGGATAAAGATATTCTATCATAGAGTCATAAGCAAGTGCCAATTGCTGCAAGGCAGTCAAAGCCTATCCGCGTTGGGGTTGCGTACGTGAGAGATTGGTACTCTCTCTTCTACTCCTCAGGGCTGTCATGGACGTAGTGACGGGAGGCCTCAATAGTTTGGAGCTCACCACAAAAAAAGACAGAATATATGGAAGTGGGAAGGCAAAATCCACGAACATACATCGTCCATGATGGTTCAATCAGAAAACTCTTTCAGGTTCTAGAAAGTCGAGTTTCTTTAAGGAATTCTGGATGGGCTATTCGAATACGTGTATGCAGCCTGGATGAAGCGGAAAACTTTCGAGTTCTATGCGATAAGCAAATGCCAGAGCAACCCTATCCCACATGTTCGTACTGTAATTCTGCCGACAGCACTGCAGCAAGTGATTGTTGAC